CTCCTCTTCCTAGCTTTCCCCCCTTTCTTTCCACAGAATCAACCCACCGAGGGCCACCCTGCAGCATTTTACCAGGGGCTCTCAAAAGGCCCCCCCCCCCCGGTCCAGCAGAGAGGATGGGCAGGCATTTCTCCCGTGGATGGTGAGCAGAGCCACCAACGTCAGCGTAGAGCCTCCCTTTTAGAGTAAACGGTGATATTCTGGAGAAAGTGAAAGCAGACCGTTTACTGGAAATCATTAGGGAGAAAATTGTTGTGATTATCTGACTTTCGTGACAAGAGCTCTGAATGGCTCTGAGGGCTTGGAAGAAACAGGAGCCCTTGGATCCTTCCGGAGGGACGCAACAAGGGCCGCTCCACCTTCTCCAAGAGCTTCAGCTGGGGTTGATTAAATCTTGTTGATGCCCTTGCGTGAGTTTGTCATCCTGCCTTCCCCTCTGAGGTCCAGAGAATTAAGAAGGCAGAGCATTTATGAAGAAAAGCCACAGGACGTCCCTGGATTCTGAGTAATCAGCAAAAGCTGCCCTTCAAAAGAAATAAACAGAGAAGATTCTCAGAAGGAGATCCTGGCAGTTGCTTCCTGGCTGGAGAAGCAGAAGCTGCAGACAAAAGGAGAGCGGTTGAGACCCAGGGGAGCCACACGTAAAGGAGGAGGAGGAGGAGGAGGCAGCGGCTAGCCTTGCCTGGGCCATGCCCAGGTCACCCCAGGAATGTCCCCTGGGCATCTTGGGCCAGGGAGCTGTGCCCAGGAACAAGGCTGGGTGCTGCAAAATGTTCTCCCAAGAAGGGAGAGACTCTGGAGGGGGCCAGGGGTCTCAGCACCCTCTTTGTATCACAGGACTGGACACAGTAGGTCTCGTCTAGGGTGGCATCAGCGGTGCGGTATAAGGCGGTACTGCCACTTCACAGGATCCTGACCCTCCCCTCTGTTCAGGCATCCCAGGATTGCGTTGGCTTCTTTGGCTGCTGCTGCCCACGGCTGGCTCCTACTTCAGCGGTTGTCCACCAGGACGCCTGGACCAACATTCAGCTGTGAATGTTGAGCCAGGAGCCTCCTCCTTCCTGTCTAGGCACTCGGTTTTTCCTGCCTAAGTGCAGGGCCTGGCACAGAGGGTGAGTTTTAACATCTGAACTTCCCTCTCATCCTTCAACTTACTGCCAAAGCCAGCTCAACCCTTGTTCCCTTTCTGAAATGAGGACAAGGCATCAAGATGGCAGAGAGATAGAGAGAGAGAGAGGGAGAGAGGTAGGCAGACATGAAGATATAGATAGAGGGAGGGAGGGAGAGAGATAGAGGGAGGGAAGGAGAGAGTGGGAGGGGGAGAAAGAAGGGGGGAGGGAGAGAGGGAGAGCTGTGGCTCCTCAGACCTCCCCCCACCTCTGAATCCGTGCCTCTCTCTGGGAAAGCTCTGTGCTGCCAAAACTCCCTCTGCCCACTGCTTCTCCAGGTGCAGCTTCCCTCCCAGCCAGGCAGGTGAAGACATCCTTGTAGCAATCAGGTGAGAACCTCCCCTAGAGGAGGAGGAGGAGGTGCCCCTTCCCGTGTCTAGTAACCCCTTTCTGAGCACGACTTTGAAGATCCCTCAGTTGAAGCGGGATCTCTCCTAAGAGGGATTGCAGGGATCCCTCGCTGCCTCAAGATGATCCTCCCCACCCCCCCACCCCCACCTACTTGATCTCTGGCAGTGGGTTGGGACCCAGATGGCGAGGGGCCGTTTGTGCTCTTGCTGATTAGCCCTTCTGATGGGGAGATATGGGCCGCCTGCTCCGGCTGACAGGATGCCCTCTCTTCCCTTTTGACATCTGCTGTTGAAGAAATGAAACCCTCGCTTGGCGTCTGACTTCTTGTAAATGGCCTCCGTCATAACAAGATTACTAACACCAGAGGTTTCACCCAGCAAAGGAAGCTCAGCTCCAGCGAGATCCGTGGGGCAGCAGCTGAGAGCTCCCTCGAGGCAGAGGAGGGGCGGCTGCTGCCTGCAAATTCACCCTTCACCCCACCCCATTTCCTTCCTTGCCGCTGGGCCTGCAAGACAGGAAGCTTTACCTGTTGAATCCCCCCCCAAAGAAAGGCAGACGCCCAGAAACCCCCGCAGAGTCAAAGAGGCTTCTCCGGGGGCTGCTGGCCCCACACTGGTTCAGAGGAGCACGATCTCCCCGTGGAGATTCGCACCCTCACCACCCTCCAGACCTTCCGCACAGCCCTCAAGGCCTGGCTCTCCCGTCAGGCCTGGGGATAAAGATCGTAATCCGTCCCCACCCGAATGATGAATGAATGTTGTGTTCTATTTTTTACTTATGTATTGTCTCATGTCTTGTCTTGTATTCCCCTCCCCACAAATTGTAAGCCGCCCTGAGTCCCCTCAGGGAAAAGGGCGGCCTATAAATAATAAACAAACAAACAAACAAACAAACAAACAAAC